ATTCCTAATGACTGCTGAAGAAAAGACCAGTCAGTGTCAGCTCCTGAGGGGTACAAAACAAAGCAAAACCCAAAGTCGAATGTTTGCCAACACAGGCACAATCCAGGAGCCCTGAAGAGGGTAGCTATATCCCTTTCCCCAGGTTCAGTTTCAAGGTACTGCTTTCAAGTGTGACAGCAGTGACTGAAATAATCTTGTTAAATAAGATCATTGTCCCCTCGTATCAAGTCTTGCACTGAGCTTTGCTACACTGTTGCAACATTATCTCATATTTCTACTACTTTTGTCACTCTCTTACCAAATTTTTGTGTAGTAAATGTAAAATCAGGACCACTCCTGCCTCCTTCATCTGTGTAGGCCATCATCCGCACAGTATACAACGTGTCACTGGCTAGAGAAGAGAGGGTATATTCCGTCTTGGAAGGATCCACTGACACAGCTAAACAGAGGAAAAAAAGTTGTATCAGTTTTCTGTACAATTTATTAGACCTGCACAAATACAGTAGCACTAAAGTCATCATGACCTAAGATGTGCAAAACATTTTCAGAGGAATGCATGGCTGCAAGAAAAATGCAACAGAAACAGCCAAGCTACAAACTTGTTCAAGGAGGGCCAAGATTCATTTGTTTCTGTACAGGTATTTGAATTGACCAATTTAGTCTCTCTTGATGAAACTCTATGTGCTAACTTTAACTTTTAACTTTTTAAAAAAGTAGCTATAAACTGATACTAAAGCTGTCAGTTTTTAAGATCTTCTAATTAATAAGTAGGACACATGGTTATCTAGAAATTCAAACTAGTGTAGCCATAAGTGACTGACCCATCTGCTTTAAGCAGACTTTAAAAAGAAAAGAATGATAGTGTCATTTTAGTCCATCTTGTCTATGCCCATTATACTAGTGATGGGCAAGTAAAGAGTTAACAACTGAAACTGTCAAATTGCACAAACTCTGCCAACATAGCAGAAAAGGGAGGGAGAAGCTTTGGGTACTGTTCCCAAAGACAAGGTTGGGAAGCAGGACATCTTGCGGAGGCAGGACGGTCTCGCTTTGCTAAAATCTGCAGCGGTGCCCAACTGGGCGAAGAACTGATACACTCGCAGAACACCTGATACAGGACCAAACCCCATCTCGCTGACTTGGCACCATAATCCTATGGAACTCGCTGGAAGGAGCACCTCATAGGGGTGACCAGATCACAGCCATGTACTCCTTCCCTAAGGGTATAGAAGAGAGAGTCTAGCACTGAGGAGTTGAGCTGGGATTGGGAAGGACACCTGAGCTCCTCTGGCAGGACCGTGAGGTGAGGATCCCTCCCCTCCCCTTAGTGGGATGCTGGGCTGAGGTAACTCCTTGCGAGGCTGAGGCGCCCGTGCACGTACAGCAAGGTAATGCTGTAACATCCCCTTGTATTTCCTCTCTGGGACACATGCTGTACTCCAGTCACTTGCGCTAATTGCTAATTCCTGTGTACTAATTGAATCAGCCGGTCCCGATAGCTATTGCGCCAGTTGTTATCTCAAAGATCTGGCATGGGTGAATAAAATCAACTAACTAAAGCCCAGTGGTTGTTGCCCCTCTGGATCATGTTACTGTCTCCTTTAATGAGCTAGTGTGACAACTAGTAGTGACTAAATGAGAGTCAGATTAGTCATAACCAGAAAACAAGACATAGAAAGTGCCTCAAATCAGCAATATGTTAACTGAGAGCACCAAGAGGATTAGAAGTCTGTTTTTGTTTAAAGGTTTATCATGGAAATGAGCTGCATGCATTTTAATATTATTTTAATTTAAAGCTAGAATGGTCTAGCTTTACCTTGCTATACCACCATCTTCTATTTAGCAAGACAGACAGGAGCAGAATATTTTCAAATCAACTTTCAGAAATAAAACTTAGTACCTTATACACAATTATATGAATTCTTTATTAGGGACATTTCTGTTTCTCCAGTGTGTCTCACGCAAGCCACACACCTCCAACATCTGCTTTGTGTCAAACAGATTGTCAGTCACACTGGAGTCTGTTTTCTATTTCAGAACACATATTAAGAAGTAAACATGAATATTTCAACATATTACAAAGGAGTTCTGTACTTTGTTACCTGTTTCATTTCCATCAACGGTTTTATAAAATATTGTGTAACTTCTAATAAATCCATTTTGCTCATCCACTGGAAGATGGTTCCACATCAAAACAGCTTCAGCTTTTCCTACTTTTTTTGTCTGAACAGTTGGTCCTTTTGAAGGACCTGTAACAGGAGATGAAAATTAGATTCTGTTAAGGTCCTGTCTGTAGGAATAGCATATTAATGAGCACTGAGTTATTACATAAAATTTGCAGCAGAATAGCTGAAATTGATCTACAAAGCATTATTTTCAGTCAATATATCAACTCCAAAGAGATTTCACATGAAAAATCTCTTTGAATATATGAAAAACAGTAATCAGTAGATCAAATGAAATTTTCAATTCAGTTAGTCAAGTAATCCTGACTTCAAACTTGAGACTTAATTAGTATAGAAATATTCCTATGCCAATAAAATATCAGGAATATGAAATTATCTGATAAAAGATTTAAAAATGAGAGTCAATTACAGGCATCTGTTTAACCCCTAAATATTTTGGCCAAAGATGTGTAAATGGAGGGAATAAAACAAATTATGACAAATAACCCTCATAAGTAGGCTCATTTTTCATTCTGTGCTCCACAATAAAGCAAAGGTCTTATGATCTTAGCCAAGAAAGTCAGTTCATGTACTCAAAGATGAAATTTTGTACTTACGGTCCTGCTGGAGGTAAGCCTTCACAGACTGCCCACTTCCCTGACCATCAGCATACAGAGGGTACACTGTTATCAAGTAACACTTGAAGGGCTTTATATCACCTAATAGGAGAAATTAAAAATATGCTGTTTCAGAGACATTAGCTCTCATTTCCTCCAAATCTACGGTTCTGAGTTTTGGCATTTTTACTAGATGCCTTTAAACCTAAGTCAATTGACTATTATTTTTCTAGAACTCACTATTGCAAGAAACTAGCTAATGAAACAATAGAAGTAGCTCACTTTATAATTTTAAAGGTAATAAGTAAACATTGGAAGTCTTTGTTTTTCTAACTTTTTCTTAAAATAAGAAGCCCGCATCTATCTGCAATATTGTGACTCCAAATATTATACATTTGACCGACTGACTATAATCTGAAAAGGACTGTAAATCTGAATAACTTTTACTGTTCAAATCAAAAGAGGGAACACAGAATATGATTCTGAAGAAACTCTTTTCACTATTTCAAGAGTTTCTGAGATTAAAGAGAGAGATAAAAACCAAAACAAAGATAAAACACTGCCATTACATAACCTGAATTTCAAAATGCAAGGATAAAGTTTTATATTTGGCAAAAATATACAGGCACTTCAATGGACTCATAACCAGCTAAGAGTAGCCCTTAACTCTACCCCAGTCCCACAACAAAATTCTAATCTGCATCAGTATGTTTTTCAATTTGAGAATATTAATTACCTTTTAAAGTGTTTTACAATGTATTTTTAAAAATATGTGTTAAATACCTTTTAAGTGTGTTCCTTGAACATTCTCTGGTTCACTCTGCCATTCTGTGACACAGTCTGAGCTGTTGGACACCAGACACCACTCAACTATGTATCTGAGGACGGAACTGTTAGGAGCAGTCCACACTACCCACAGCTTGCCATCTTTAGCAAGTGTCTTAATATTCTTCACAGGAGCTGAGATGAAAGAAAATAGGAAAGTGTTAAATGCTGACAGTTCTTCAATCCTATCTTCAATAGGATTGAATTTTGTTAAATGCAGATACTTAGCAATTTTTGGAAATTTGGAAGTTTGCTTTGTCAGAGATCCAAATTAAGCAGTATTAGGCTAAAAACTGAAAAGTGCACTCATTTTCTCTATTCTCTAATACCGTAAGTATTCTTATGGCACAGTAAACAGATACCATATTCCTGACAGAAAGGGTCTATTTCAAATCTTCACACACTTCTGAATTCACATTCTAATCTTCAACTCACATATCTGACCAAATTCATGTGGCTGCAATGCTCCTCTGGTCTATGAAACACAGAGTACACCGACACTCTTAATAAACTTATCTAGCAGTTTTAGAACCTGTAGCACCCTCAGCTGTTACACTAAAAGCAGCAGCTCTTCCAGGACTCTTGTACTTTGCTGCTTTAGTGTTTGGAATATCTAAAAAGAGGCTGTATTCATCAGATGTCAGAAATAGGGAGCAATCAACCTGTAGCTACTGCTACACAACAGTGGCACACAAGCAGTGCATGGAATACACTAGTGCAAGTTCCAACACCCAATGCCTAGAGAACCTGTAGAGGCAGAGGACAAGCAGCCTCTGGGACCGGGAATGATCAGAGTGGGATAAGACAGGAAAGGGAAAGAAAAGTTTAAAAGGGTTAGAAAATAGAAAAGTACGAAGAACAGCAACAGGTATATTTATGAAGTAACGGATGCCTCCCTCAACACCCACTGATTTTTAAAAAGAAAACTGAAATGCCTGCCACATTAAATAAGGTCTTACAGGAGGTTGCTACAGCAATGCTATGCTATTAAAAGAAACTGATAGGGAATTGCTCTAAGGATCAAAATCCAGCAAAATAACAGAGCTTTATGGCACAGCTTCAAGCAGACCTGTGATTAACTAAACCTGCACATTTATACAAATCATAGCATAACTATAAGGATTAAAAGTAGTGACACATCCAACGGTTCTGTAATTACGTGTCCATATAAAAGGTATTATTTAGCAACACTCAGAAGATATCTGATCTTTCAAATGCATCTGCTTTGTGTTTGTTAAGAGAGACTGCTAGAAAACTCACCTTCAGAATTCCTTGCTGGGATGAGCAGAACTGAAGAAGGGGACATGCCAGCTCTGTTATGGGCAACCACAGTGACCTCGTAAGTCCCATTGGGCAGCTTTAGGGTAAGGCAGGTGCTGTTGACACTGTACTTCTCTGGGAGACGGGAAAGAGGTGGCCTAGCTCGGACAGTCACCTCATACTGCAAGATTATCCCGTTAGTTTCAGGGGGCTGCAATGCCTGTTAGAGACATATCAAGTGATAGACTGATACCAAACCAACATCGCTTAACCTCTAGTATCTTGGAAGCTTAAATTCTTGAGAATAAAACAAGTTAAACTGATTGAATAGCTGCATGCTTGAGAAAAGTGCAAACAAATTCAGAATTAATTTCTGTAAAGCAGTAATTTCCAGAACTATTTCTTGTTTAAAGCTGTCTCTGCTCACGATCCCATACAGTAATCTAATACGGGCTCTCCTGCCAAGATTGCAACAAATGCGTGGATGAAACATGCATTTTGTGTGCCTTCAAGGCACAAGGGTATAAAATAGATCTCAGGTTATAATCTAGGTTGCATCAGAATACAAAACAGCATGAGTAGTTTTCTCTTACAAAAAAAAAAAAAAAAAAAATTTTTTTTTTAACACTATTAGCTTTCAGATAATTGAGAAAAAAACGTTGAAAAAGCTAAGCCAAGCAGTTTACAAATAGCGCAAGTTTGCTAAGCTAATTATTTGGCACCAGAGGCTTATTTAATAATTTTGGAAGTAGCATGAGGGATATATGAGTTAAGGCAGAACATGATGAAGGGTCAATATGTATATAACTTCACCCAAGACACCAAGGGTGGGGGGAAGTTGACAGCTAGGTCAAATTTGACTGAAGAAAACAGGAGATGGGGACTGACCATAATTGATTTCAGTTTCTCAACTCTGTACTAAGTTGTCAGCTAACTGCAAAGAACTATTACATGCAAAAGTACAATGTCGCATTTAACAAATCTGGTCTCTGGGACATCTTTAGGCTCAGTAAGTTTTGAAGCTAGAGGATCACTGTCCAATCAATGTTAAAAAAAAAAAAAAAAAAAAAGCTGCTGGATAAAGTAGAAAGTTTAACATGAAAGTTTACTTCGTTCAAGTGAAAACTTCTAAGTTCATAGGCTACTAAAAAGAGCAGATAAGGAATCAGAATAGAGAGTGCTAAAGTAGATTCTGCGTACTCTGGTGTGCAGATGTGTGTCAGTTAACTGATGGCATTTGTATCTAAGACTTCTTATAATGGATAGTTACGAAAAATGAAAGTTACTTGGATTATCAGTAAAAACCCCTATCACCCCAGCTATCTACTCAAGTTTGCTGTTTTCTTTCACTTCAAATCACAGGTAAATCAACACTCAGATCCAACAAGTTATCACTTTACCTTCCATATTAGATGCACAGTCCAGAAAACAGGTGAGTGAGAAGCATCAATGATCCTCCATAGGGGTGGCCCTTTAGATGGTTCTGAGGAAAGAACAGAAATATTTGCTTCAATTCATCATTTTACTACCACTAGCTTCTTGCTCCCTTTTTAAAAGTTTTTACATTTTTTTCTCCTGATTTCCTTGAAAGTCTCATGATATAAATGCAAGTATATTTAGCATGTTAGGAAGAAAAACTTCACGGAAAGGTTTCCTGAAGGGATGAGCAAAACACCGGTACAATTCTAAGTGCACCAATACAGAAGTTATTGTGTTGAGCAGTTGCAGTAATGGACTGTACAAGACAGTACAAAATAAAGCATGACCATGTTATCTTGAGCACTCTGTATGCAGAAGCACTTGTGTGTTGCACGTCCCCACCCATCAGCAGCAAAACAGCTAAAAAGGGAAGCGCAAATGTGTTCATTAGCTGACAGCTTTCTACTGCCACAAGTCCTTAGCTCTCCACATATCATAATCTAGAAAAAGATGTAGAACTGCAGCATTTTGTGCAATACTACACTACCTTTTGGTGTCAGTACTGTTAAAAATTTCCACTGAAAAATTATTTTAATTAAAAGATAGAATGAATCAATCTATTATACTGCACAGAGCAAAAGTTACCTATCCTTTCAGAAAGCACTACCCATGATAAAGACATCTTAAAAGGCAGCTGCAATGATAATCTTTCTAGACTGTCTGTGGTTTCTCCAGGAATTGTTTTATTACATTTTTAATATTAATCATTTATTTAGGTACATTTCCCAAAGCACTTAAAGCTCAATTCTGTTGTAACACTGAGGAGTTTTTGGAAGCTTTACCTCCCAAAAAGAAAAGAATGATCTTACAAAACTGAATTTTGACCAGTAATTTTTGCTCCAGTAATTTTTTCCAGATCAGAAAGCTTATTAGAGCTTAGCCTAGTGCTTTCCTAAATCCTAGTTATCACATTTGAGTAAGTTAATCAAAAAATAGTGGCTTAATACTTTGATGAAATTATGTATATGCTTCTTAGAAAGTGTTTTTGCACAAGTGTAACCAATACCCAAAAGTTAAACTGGTTAAGTCTTCCTCACTACATCATGATACAATTCATTATTCTCTAGTGCAACAAGAGAAAGTATGATAGAAGCCCAAAACTGCAATATTACACTGACAAAGTCACCAAGGAGGAAAACTGAAAGGCAAAAGTAGTTTATTTGTGGATAGAATCATAGAATGCTTAAGGTTGGAAGGGACCTCTAGAGGTCCCCTGCACACGCAGGGTCACCTAGAGCATGCGGCACAGGACTGCGTCCAAGCGGGTTTGAAGATCTCCAGAGAAGGAGACTCCACAACCTCGCTTGGCAACCTGTTCCAGTGCTCTGTCACTCTCACTGTTAAGGAAAAATTTCTTAAGTTCCTGCAGAACTTTTGCTGCTTCAGTTTCTGGCTGTTTCCTCTAGTTCTGTTGGTGGCCACCACTGAAAAGAGGCTGGCCCCATTCTCTACACCCCCTCCCTTGAGGTACTTATAGACCCTCCCTAGGTCCCCTCTCCGCCCTCT